TTTTTTTTTTTTTTTTTTTTTCGGATCCTCGTTCGGATAAACGACCCCCGGCGCGCGTGCACGTATAGTATCCGAACGGTTTCTCTCTCCGCGGGCCCCGTGCCTTCGTCCCGAGTATGCGGCGGCGGCGGCGGCGGCGGCGGCGGCGGCTGTGTAAAACGCCGATTAGACCCGTCAACGGAATCCGAGAGACCCCGTGTATAATCCCGCGCGCAGCGATCCGCCTCGCCGTCCCGTCCTTTCCCTTCTCGCGCCACCGCCGCTCGGGAATTTCCGCCGTAAATATACGGCCGCGCGCCCGAAACGTCTTTGTCCCCCGGCAAACTCGCTGTCGGCATCCGCAAAATTATCATTATTATTATTATTATTATTATTATAACGCGAGTATATATTTATACGGCAATAGCGTACGGTGCAACCGCGCCGCAGCGGTAACAACAATACGGTGAACGCGGGCCGCGAGGGTTCGCCGCGATCGCCGAGTTTCGAAAACGATTTTCGTCTGCGGATCCGCCGCGCGCGCCGAAACGACCGCGTACCGTGCGTATCGTTGGACGCTCGCTCACCCCGTTTTCGGGCATTTTTCGAGTGCGCGTACGGCGCAGACTCTCGGTAATCCGGCCATTATTTTAACGGTAGAATCGTCAATCGCGATTCCCGTCACAAACGATACAACCGACAAATAACGTCCGAACGAACCGACATTAGAACATTGTATTTTCCGTGTTTTTATTCAGCGAACGTTGACGCGTTTATTGCGTGCCGGTCAGCCGTTGCGTGTTGTATCATCGTGAGCCAGTATGTGTACACGTATTATCTATGTGTTTTAATAAAATACGAATTTGGGTTTCGCAATAAGTAAAATATATGTTTTCGCGCGGACCTCCATTAATTCGGCGTTTCCGGTAATCTGGCAGTTCTACGGTCCGATATCCGGATTGCCGAGAGTCCCCGGTACGCGGTTAAGGACGACGATAACATTCGATAAGCGTACGGCCAGGATTTTTCACGACAGTATCATCCGGTGGGCTCGTACATAGCGAGTGTAACATAGCGGAGAACCGTTCAAACGCCCGGCGACGCACGGGCGTATGCTCGTTCGGCCATCGCCAACCGCAGAGCCGGATCGGAGCTGGTGCTTAGGAGGCCCCGGGGGGGGGGGGGTGACCGCAAGTTGAAGGGAGCCGCGAAACGTGTGTTTTTGCCGATGGCCTTTTCGTTTCGATCATCGGTCTTTAGCCCCGGGGCCTCCACAATCCGTAATCCGGCCATAGCTCCGACTGCGGGTTAGAGCTGTTGTTAAATGTGTTCGCGTGAAATCCGACGCCGAGTTCTCGACCGTGCGCTCGGAGAATTCCCGCGACCGGAAAACGGGGCGAGCACGCCCGCCACAACGAATCGCCCGGCGTATTGCGGCGTCACGCCGACAATAACTGTGAAACGTGAGCGGGTTTCGCGCGCTGTTAAACCGTACGGATTCGGAATTTCGCCCCGGTCGCGTCGGCCGCCCGGGTAACGATAACGGCGACGACGGCGCCGACGTTTCGCGGGCGTGACCCGTGCCGGCGAATTTATCCCGCGCAGTGCACGCGTCTCGCGCGAACACCGAACCCGCGGTCGTATTTATTACTATTATTATCGTTGCTGTTGCCGCGGTCGTCGCCGTCGCCGTAACAATGTTTCTTGTCCATATTTGGTCGCATACAGGTACGCGCGCCTCGGTGACGGGGATACGAGTGGCCGTACGGGGTTTACGGTGTTTTTATTTTTTGCTCCACCTCACCCAACCCCCTCCCCACCACCACTCGTCTACCGGTTTCGAAGCTCGTAAATCGTCACAAGGCGCGGCGGCGCACGTTCCCCGCGCACGCGCGTTACATTATATACACGCATAAATACACGCGCGCACGCGCGGATATACGATAATAATAATAATAATAACAATAATATATCATATCGTATCGTGAATAACACCGCTGTCGCCGTACGCGCACGGGCGCGCCGACCCGCGCGGCCGTGGTATGCGATCTCCGATCGCGAGTCCTCGGGGCCCGGTCGCGGCAGACACGCGATATGCCCGCGCCGACCCGCCCGGTCCGGTCCGTGTCTCGACAAGCCTCGGGTATCCGCGCGCTCCGGTGCTGTTTGTCGCTCGCCTCGTATTCCGGAAGACGACGGAAGGTCGAAAATACCGGGTCGTCAACGCGCGGATCGTTTACGCGATATCCGCCGACAGAGGGGGTGCCGGGTTTTTAGCGCTCCCGAAATCACGAGACGAGCAATCGATTAAAACAAAAAAAAAATAAATAGACACCGTATCGTGTTTACGTAAATTGAAAAATGGAACGTGTACGGTTCATTAATGATCGTCGCGTAAATGGTGTCGCCGGGGCGTCGGTCCTCCGGGTCTGCGGGTGTCCCCGATAATTTCAGTACCCCGAATTTCGGACGGTCCAGTCGCGCCTGTGCGATCCTCCGCAGCCTCCGAACGATTTTTTTTCCGGATTTTCTTGTTTCCCGCGGGAATACCCCGGGCGTATAAAATTAACGCGTGCAACACGCGCATGCGTATCGTACGTGTGTTCGAAACGGGTACGCCGCCTGTGTCGCATTAACTTTCAATCGGCATAAATCATAATGTTCAAACGGTGGGACGGTAACGCGAACGGTACGATGCGGTACCGCGCGGGGACCGGGGATACGATTTTTGACCGAGAAGCCCCGCCGAGTGTTTTCGGACGACGGGAAATTATCGTGCACACGCGACGGGATCGCTGGGCGGGTCGCGTGGGTATCGGAGGGGCGCGGGGCCGCGGTCCCTACCGCGTTGTCCTGCCGGACCCAGGAACGGTTTTATCTTTCGGTCGCGCGTTTTTTTTTTATTTTCACTCTCGGCATTTCGTCGGACCGTGGGCCAGTTTATATTATGCTCGCGGCGTTGTTGGCTTGCCCGATTTCTTTTTTTTTTGTCGTTTTTACCGTACGGGCTGCGAGGGATTACGAGAATGTTTTCTTTCGGGAACGGTTTTTTGTTTTGTCTTCCCCCGGAAAAGAACTTTCCGTCCGAAAATCGCGTCTCTCGTTTATATTTATATACATACACACGTATACGGTGTGTAGTACACACGGCCGATTGTATGTATAAGGGACCTAGCTTTATTTCGGCACTGCGGGTCCTTTTTTTTTTTTTTTTCGTTATTTTTTATCGCACAACCGTCCTCGGGGTTTTTCCTCGTCGCCGGAACTACCGAGGCTCGGATCCGACCGGAAATCGATACATGCGTCTCGCGTTTTATACATACTGCGTATATAAACGCGTCGCGGTTTCACGTCGGAACTCCGAACCGGAAAACGTAACGCGTGTACCGGGTACCTACCGCCTACCGGGACCCGCCTCCTCTTCAACCCTTCCCCTGCGCCCCCCCCCCTCCTCCCAAACGACGAGTCCGGGGCAATCCGCCAATTCCGTGGTCTTGCGGCGAACCCCGATCGATTTCGCCGCGGGTTTTCCACACGACTACCGCGGTATGCCTACACACACGTACATGACCAACCATGAATTTGGCGCCGGAGACGGTCCGAAATTTTCGACCCGCGGACGTTTATCAATTACCGCGCGTTTCGCGGGCGGCGCGATTTATCGTTTTACGGAAGGGGCCGCGAAATCCGACGGGATTGTTCAATTATATTGTTGTCGGGAGTTTTTTTTTTTTTTTTTTTTTTTGTTTTCACTCTTCGGCCCCCGGGGAATTTCCGCCCGAACGGTGCCGGGGGGCGGGGGCGGTGCGGGACGCGGG